ATTTTATTTGACCTGACATTAATTGCAGTTGTTATATTAAATTTTTTTTCATATAACTGTATGATTTACTTTATATAATGTTGTTTAATGCTCTTCGATAAATTCATTTTTTTCCCCATCTATTTTTTAAATGTTATTGTAGGGAGTTTGATCTAACAAAAAGAGTGCCTTAAAAAAAAAGGGAGACAATGTTTGTGTAATATTTCTATTAAATCCATTTGAGTAAGTTGATGGAACAGACAAGAGGCAGAATTTTGGTGTATTCTCTTTTTGGAAGGTTTTTTTCCCCTCCTTTTTTTTTCCCCCTTAAATCTCACTTATGTCTGTGTGGCAGCTGTTGCTTCTTTTAAGGAAGCAAGTTTTTGAACTCAGGTTTCTGTTGCTTATCAGCACTGTATATTAAAGACATTTCCTTCACACCTCTGAAACCATTTACATATTGAAAAATGTAGATGTTTTGCCAAAGTGGTTTTTTAAAAAATACATTTTAAAATAATAAGATTAATTTTAAATTACTAATTAATTTTTCAATAATTGCTAAATTTTCACATGCTTAAGGATTACAAATGGTGAGACTAACAACAGCAACTGTGGAATTTGAGGTGAAATAAGTGTTTGAAGGGAGAGTTTGAGTTGTGAGGTAAATTAAAAAAAATTGCAAACTTTTGGGTGATACATTTGTCTAACACAGATTTTTTTTTACTACTCATATGATTTCTTAGAAAGCTCTCCTTTCTGAAGCTTCTCAGCAGTAGGAAGACTACCAGCATTGCATCACTGGAATAAATGTAGATTGTGAAATGTCCTGAAGGCAGGTTTCTTGTTACTGGCTGTCAAAGGCAAAAAAAGAAAATTCATTAAGGCTGCAGTACAGAGGCAAATAAAGAGGCAGCCACGAGGGTCATGTTCTAAACAAACCTTCATTAAGCACTCTTTGTTGCTGTTGTTAGCCAGTGTATTATTAAATACAACATTAATTAAAGAGTTGCATGTTACGAGGGTGCTTTTTGCATGAAGATCAGATTGAATTTTCATGTGCTTCATGAACATACTGCTGTCTTACCTAATCTTTTGGGTGTATTCTCTCAGTAGCTATTAAAAAAGCAGACCCTAACAACATAAAATTTGTATTTTGTCTGTATGTATTTATTGTCTGTATGTGTCAGCCAGATGCATATTCTAGTGCCACTTTCCTCAAGTAGCTTAAAAAACTTTGCCTAGAATTAAAATTATGTAGGATATACTTGGTTTTCTTTGCTGCAGTAGTTGCAATTAGAGACCTCTTCTTACTGTCTAATAAACAGATCCTAAAAGAATGTGGTTTTCAACTAAGAAGGGTATAAATTTAGACAAAACAATAATTTAACTTCCATTAACTCAGCAGGAAGCAGGGTGCAAAGCGATTATTGCTCTATGGCAGATCCACTGCTTTTTCAAATACTGCAGCTCCATTTTATTAAATTGTCAGGATATCTTGTGTTTTGGTTAGCCTGCCTGAACTTCTCTCTCGTAGAATTCCTTTTCACTTGATTTAAGAAATTCACACGAGAATTTCCTGTAGTTTACTTCTGTTGAGGTATTTAATAAACATTCATTGCAAATATCTTTGAAGTGATTTAATATTGATAATACTGGGAAATACCCTTTTTTTTTAAATACAGGGCTGCTAAGTTAGAAGACATGTGGAAGTGTTTTTCTTTTCAAATACCCTGCTTTGCTCTAGCATTTTTTGTATGGTGAATTTCTTTCAAGGTGTATCAGTAAGCATGTGTATTAAGAAGTATGGACTAAAATACTTTTCTACCTTTAGGCAGGTTATGTAAAAGGAATGCAGTTATAAGAGAGAACCTAGAGTGCATCTTGAGAGCCCTTAACCCACTTGAGCAGCTAAGTGAACTATTCTCTGATTCCACTGTTTAGTCTTCAAAAGTGTTCACCCATTTGTTAATTAAATTACAAAGTAAATATAGGGCAGATGATAAATATTCACATATAGGCCTTGGAGAGGAGTTAGACTATTGGTATTTTCAAGACAAAACCAGGGTTTGTGTGTTCGGATAGAAAAAGCAGTACTTTTGAAAAAGTAGTCTGAGCATGACTCAAGTTGGGAAAGCACTTGGGAAAAACATTCTTCAAAGAAATATGTCTGTGAAACAGATATATGGATCCTTATGAAGCCATAGTGTTTTGCAGTTGTTTTAAAATTGCTTTTTCTGTGTCAGGCTCCAGTTTGTAGAGCGAAGACAGAGGTACAGCTGTGCTCATAGGTAAACTGATACATGCCTGTCCTATGATTAGCTTCTATCCAGAGTTGCTAACTCTCTTCAGAGCAGCTTGAAAGTGCTGTTCTGTTCTTCTAATGATTCTTCTCCAGTCATAGCATCAGCTGCATAACTCAGCAGGTGATTAAAAATCTGCCCAGTTTTCTAATGAAAAGAATCTGTGTTTGGCTCCTCCTGGGTACTCAACCTTGAGTGTTGTCCTAAGTGGTGAAGAGGGAGTAAGCATCAGGGGAGTGTGTGCTGGGTCTGTGAGGCCACCTGGAAGAATGGTCTCCTTTTCCATCAGGTTTCATTCTGGAGAGTGTATGTAAGCAAACAAAGGCTGCCATTCTTTCCTGAGTGACTATTAAGTGTACTTACCCTATCAGCCCTGATCCCTAGAGCAGAATCTGCTTATCTCCCTCTCCAGTTTATTCCTTGCAGAAAGGAGAACTCTCTTTAAAACCTGAGCCCTTGGATGGCTGACCTGCTTTAGGCAGGTTGATATTGTCTCCATGCTGCCCTTGAATTCTTCAGCAGGTGTAGGTGCCTGCCTTCTAGGTAAGGCTAGATTGCAAACCCAGTAACAGGCTCTTCCTCTCACTTACTCTTACAATGAAATGAGAAATAATTTATCAGAAAAATACAGATGATTCTCTTTTTCATCCCTTTAAGAAGGCAACTAGGTTGTTAATATTTTTAAAACTTATATTGGATGATCTGATACATAAGGTTTTGTTTTGGCTTCAGCTATTGAATCCATGCAAATTTCATAAAATTTGTTGCAGGGCATATTTTAAGTATTTTTAAAATATGACTCATTCCTTTACTTAGGCCTATGGTTATTTCATGTTCAAGTATTCAGCAAACTTAATTTGTTGCTCTTCATGTAATGCTGATATAGATTTTCCCTGTTGTTGGTATTAAAGTTACACATTGCTTTTCCCACACTGCATTTGTGTTTCTACTTCAGCTTAGAAAGTATCTTGTACCTGTTTGTTTTGATTTGGTTTTTGTGGCATGCTTTCATGTTAATTGGGATTTCCTGCTGTGAAATGAGCTCATACTGGAAATATCAGTAGGGATGTTCCCAGCCAAACCAGAACCAGAGGCCTGAGATAAAGCTCTGCATCAATGCAAATGTAACTAGTGCCATATCTGCTCTATTCATTTAGTGGTCAAATTAAGTCACACTTGGACTTTCTCTACTCTTTCTACCTATGTGAAAATGTCTGTGTAGCAAAGCCAAGCAAGTACCCTGCTATCTAGAAGCGGGACTCAGTAGGAAGAGTTTTGCTACAAAAGCCAGCCTGAGTAGCCCAGTGTTAATTGTTCTTTTCTCCATCCTGTATTCCATACTCCCCTTCTCTGCTTAAATACATGAAAATTGGACATGTTAGTGGCTGCAGTTAAGCCATGGGTATTGTCAAAATCCTTACAAGCTGTGCTCAAGTTCATCAGGGCCATGTCAGCAATTCCCATGTTGAACTTCAGTGACAATTGATTGATTGCTGTGATGGAAAGGTGAAGGTGCAATGAATGAATTTTTAGATTATCCTTTAATGAAGTAACTTCCATCTTAGATGGATATAAACTTCTTCCTGACTTTTGAATGGCCTAAATGCTGTCTAGCTGTGGGTAACAAGGTGCTGAGATGGTAAAGGGCTCTACAGGCTGGGGCTTAGCCCAGGAGCAGTACAGCCCTCAGGATGGTTGTTCTGAGCATCCCACAAATGGTGAGAAGTCCTAGGTTCCTTGTTGGAAATTCTGCATTGTTAATACACTTTTTTTCCTGAAATTGTTAATACACGTTTTTTCACATGTATAATGATGAAAGTGACTTTAAATAAAGCTTTAGTAATAGTCGTTATTTCCTTTGTAGACCTTATAGAAATCAAAGATGAGGGAAGTTGGGCAAATCTAAACTAACCTGTACTAAACTGAGTAATTGCAGTCTAAAAATGAAATTGTTACTGAATTCTGGTGTGACATTGTAAAGTATAATAGTATTAAGGAAATTTTTTACCCTTAATAGCAAGTAAGTGACATTAATTAAGGAGTTGTGTGTTCTGAATGTTCTGATCTGAAATTCCTCATAGATTCAGAATTGAGAATCTTTAGCTCGGACTGGGGTAGGGGAAAGGTGGCATGGTAGGTTTATTGATGGACTTACCTCTTAGAAGGTGATTGCCTTCTACTTTTTCCTGTTTATTCCTTTTGCTTTCAGTTATATTTTAAAGTATATTTTGTGTAGGTTTTCCCATTACCCTCAACTTCCTTGTATTTGCTTAGTGTATGTTTTGAGAAAATGAATGACTTTGGGTTTGGCTCAACAGGGTAAGTGTTCTACCTTGTAGCATTCAGATTTCATTTGGTCATTAAAGGTCAAGCTGTAGAGCTTGGTTTTTTTTTCCCTGAAAAAAGTTTTTAGTTATTTATTGTGTAAGCATGTAGGATATTTGAACAGTATAGAGTGATAAAATTCAGAATTATACAACACTAGTATACCATAACTATAACTTCTTATTCCAGAGGCATTGTTGTAGATTCCAGGCTTACCCTTGCAATTCAATTGTCCCTTCTTTAGGACAGGGTTAAGGTTTTCTCTGTAAATTGAAAACATCTGAAAATATTTTGGTATAATTAATATTTGATGCTGATAATATGATATGTTTTTTAATATTCAAGTTTGGAGGTTTTTTTCTACAGTGTTAATGAACTTTTTTTTTTCTCCTTTAGGAGAATATATAAAAAACTGGCGGCCAAGATACTTCCTGCTAAAGACAGATGGCTCTTTCATAGGCTATAAGGAGAAGCCCCAGGACGTGGATCTGCCATATCCACTCAACAACTTTTCAGTGGCAAGTATGTATTTCCAGTATTTATTATTCTCTCAGCATATTGACAGATTATCTGCTACATATTGCTTCGTGTATAATTCAGAATTTATTGGTAACACTGCAAGTTTAGTGCCATGTGCCATACTAATGCACCACTAATCTTACATCCAGCTCTACAAGATGTATTTACAGTAGCGTGGAAGAACCATTTGGAATGTTTTTAGATGTCTAAGTTCTCATTTTGTGCGTGTGTGTGTCTAAAGTGTCTCTAAATAACAATAACATTTGGCAAATGATTGCTGTAAGAAGAAAATTCCTGGAAGGTTTACCTTTATTTAGATTGCTGACCTCTGCTCTGTTTTTCATTAGTATCTCTGAATTCACTTGAAAACTGAAATTAATTAGAAAATTATCTAGACTTTCAAATGACACAGAATCATGCTAAGTTATTTTTCTCTTGGATAATCAGGTAATCAGCTCTCCAGCCTGGTTAATGAGTAATTTCAAGCAATCAGACAATTTGCATATATTAACAAAGCCACAAAGTGTGTATTTGTTGGATAAAGTGAAGATTGCGTGTTTTCCAAGGATGTTTCTAAAAGACAAATTTGTAGGGTTTTTGATCAGTCAGAGTGAGATCGGTGAGTGTTTCTGAACAGAAATGAAAGTATTTGAGAAGAAAATTAAAGGGGAAAAAAAAATCTCTCTGAGTTGCAAATATCGCACCTAGAACCTTTCAGAGGATTTATCCAATTTCTTTAAAAATTGTACTAAGTGTACTGCTATACAAAAAGTGGCAGTGTTTAGTTTTAATTTTGTACTTAGGGAAAGGGTTCCCTTCCTCTTCACTGCTGAAGATGGAACAAGTGCTACTGAGACTGAATTTTCCTATTTTCTTGATAAAATTGTACTTGTGACTGACTCTGCCCTTGTGTATACAAAGTAATTTGTGTATTTTATTTGGTAAGAAAATAATCTTGTGCTCCAAGCTCTCATCTCACAGCTAGAAAACTTTGCATATTCTGATTGCAATAGAAAATGATATTGATTGTGCAAACCATCTAATAGCATTAGAGGCTTGTTTTTCCTTGTTGGTATTCAGCATAAAAGCAGTGATGTCTTTAAGTTTTTCATGTAAGTAGGAATTGACTAAATTATGGCCATTATTCATTCCTTAGTTATTGCTCTGCATATTCTAACTGCTCTTTTTTAGCAGGTAATATTTTTCTAGATACTGGGTCCCTGGTTTTCAGCAGAAACGCAATTTCTAGGAATACAGTGAGCTTTTTTGTCCTGCTTTACCTTGTTCTTCATTGCATAGTCTGTCTTTCTTTGCTGCACCAACTAGAAGGATGATACAAATGGTAGTTCTGCTAAGCAAAGAAATACATAATCAGCACTTATAATAACATAATTACCAGTGTGTTGGTACTGGTTTTGGTTGGGTTTCTTTTTGGTTCCCAGAGATTTTGTTATGTAATTCTGATATTAGAATGCTGTCCCTGAACTTTGCCTTGATGGAAACGGAAAGATTTCACATTGTTTTCCAAAATGACACAATCACCATCCCCACCACCCCCCCACCAAAAAAAAAAAAAATCCTTTCTGCAACTAGCAAGTCTCATAAGTCTGTTTCTTAGGCTGTGTAAGCTAAAGCATGCAATATTAATTGAAGAAAATCCAGTTTTGATAAGCATGGCTTTTTCTATTTTTTCTGACAGGAAAAGGCATAATTTTATCAGAAATGTTGGCTGATCAGTGCAAGAATAGGGAGATGTAACACTCATCAAAAGAATCTCATGAAATTAGGTGGAGTGCCTGTGTAGAATTCACAGGATGAAAAGCAAACCAGGATGGTATTACACTCTAAATTGCAAGGGATTGTAAGTTTTTTATCATCTATTTTATCTGTCTGAAGATGAGCTCATCAGTAGGGCAAATAAACAAACAAAATTGCTGTATGAATGGATCACATCTCATGGGAAGTACCTGGTAAATGTCAAGAACTGGTCTCATGGCCTCTGATCCAAGAGTTCCTGAGGTGCTGCAGTAGGTTTGTGGCCACAAGCAGCGCAACATATTTTTCCTGTAATAGTGAAGTACGTTTTCATAAATTACTAGCCAGGCAGATGGAGTGTGAGATCACTGTTAATACCATCTTGATTAGGTTGGCAGGGACTTAAAGATATGTCTTTACAGTCCTATCTTCATGTAATCTTTGTAGCTATCTGTAAAGTGAGAGTGTGGTCTCAGTCTACTTTTTGCTCTCCAAATGACAGACATCTTTGGCTCTTGCAATTTGTTATTTAAGCAGAAAAGGCCAAGGCTGTGGTATTATTTTCGTAGTACTGTTGGAGTTAAACATGGGAATGTTTGCACAATTCTACTTTGTATGATTCTTGTTTAAAACTTTCTTAGCAACTCTGTAAAGCTAGTTACTTCCATTGTGCAGCTAATTTCCCGCCAGTGTCCCCTGCTTTCCACTCCTGTGACATTTTTTATATTGCAAAAGTAAAGCTCATTCCCAGGCGTAGTATCATTTCCCCTAGTGTGGTTCCCCAATTCCTTCCAAGATAACTTTAAAGTTCCACACCTAAGCATTTCTCTTTCTTTGGTCTTTTGTCATCTGTGAACTCCATTGGGAATGAGGAGAAGGCTGGAGAGAATGAAGTTATTTTACAGACTGCTAAAAGTGCTTCCAGTGATAAGCATGTCTTTGCTAATAGAGCCTTTCTCATTGAGGAATGTTTTGTCATAGAATGGAGCGTTCAGAGGCCTTTTCCTTGGGGTATTCTGGGAGGAAATGTGGGGGGAAGGCATTTGGAAGTGTGTGTGAGCAGATAGACTCTTCTCTTGGAGAGGGAGAGACTGAGGCAGCACACATATGCCTCAGTCCATTGCCAGCCACCCAAAAACCATGAGGGAGCCATGGGGGCCTGAAATGGAGATGAGGGATCTCTCTTCCTTGGAGCACTGAAGATGAAACACAGTTGAGTGAAGGGTATGACCGAGTGGGGCTGGGTGGAGCTGAGCCCTGGGGAAGGACACAGGCTGGCCTTAGGTGTCCTGAATGGACTTCACCCCTCTGTGGCCACTACTCTCCCAGCTTTGGGTGCACAGGGAAGGCAGCCATGGGCACCCTGCCCTGCATCTTGGAGCTGCTGCAAGGTTGCGGGAAGAACAAATCAGCCAGATTTGGTGATCCTGAGTAGTGTGTAGGAATCACTGGCTCCTCTCCTGTGGAGCCAGCTTATTTTATACCTAACAAACCCACCTTCTTTTAAATGGGAGTTGTGAGAGCTGTGTATTTGAAGTAGGCTGTTAGTCCCTTCACGCTCATGCCTTGACACTGAGACTCACACAAAGCTCTGCCGTGGTATCTCACCGTGCACTTGAAGATAAATGAAGGCGGTGTAGTTGCATGGGTGGGAAGTTCATTGGGAAAACTTAAATCCGGGTGATACTGGTTTGCAGGGGTAAATTCAGAGGTGTGAGCTTTCTGGAATTGTCTGGTTCAAAATCAGTTCAGCTCTTTTCAGGTAGAGAGGAGCAGTTGCAAGTAATCAAACTGCTGTAGCTTGTACAGATACTCTTGATTGACTGAGTCATGGTAACTGAGTGGGTGTGCATTCCTAGCCCACTTCAACTGCAAAATAAAATATGTTAATTTAAATTGCTTTTGCTTAGGCATTTATGCAGTCAGAACCAGTTTAAAAATAATTTTGGATTCAGTTGGTATGACTTCTCTGTACAGGCAAAGGCCTGATAAAAAAGTCCTGTCTTTTAAAATGCCATTATGCTTCTTTGAGAGCAAAACTAATACTCCGGGTAACAGGATGTATTTTCTCAATGCCCTCCCACCCCCTCCAAAAAATCCAACATGGCCTCATGATGCTGTTTTCAACTGGCTCACTGCTGTATAAGGGGAATAAATGCTGCTTTATGTAAACCACTTTGGTCTTTGATTGTCAGCATTATTTGGGAAAGCAGAGTGGGGAAGAATTCTACTTCAGTTCTGCTTGAGGAAGATTTGTGACTTCACTGATTTAAAAAAACCCCAACTTCTCACATGCTCAGTGAGTGTGTAGGTAATCACACAGCACATTTGGGATGAAGTGTCTCTAAGAATTGGCCCTTTGCCTTCATTTTGATCTTTACATGGGGAATAATTGGGAAGAGCTGTATCCCTTCACAGTATCCTTTGAACCTTGGCCAAAAATGATGTCACCTGGAACTTTTTTCCTGTCTTGAAAGATAATGCTTTCTAAGCACTCTGGTACAGCTACCCTTTTTATTGTCCTTAAAAATAAAAAGCAGTTTATTATAATATTATTACCATGAAAAGGTAACCTTTTATAAACTTTATTTTATTTTTATTTTCTCTCTCTAAATGATTATCAAGAACCTTGGCTATTCTAAATGGAGAATCTGTGCTACTTTTTCCTAGCCTTAACGCTTCAGTGGGCCAGAGACAAGATTTTATTATTTTTAGGATCTAAAAATCTTCAAAACAGGAAAATGGAAAGGTTTCGGGGGCATAATGTTAGGATGTAAAGAACTCTGAAGATATTTTTTAAAGAAATGTATAGGGAAATATGTATGTCTGTTGTAAGTGAGATTAATTAATGTATCAAAATACTTCAGCATTAGACACAACCTTGTGTGCAACTCCAGAAATAACTTTTCAATGAGATTTAAGTCCATTTAAAAAAATTTGTTACCATACTGGATCACATGAACCCAGAGTTAAGATATAACTGTACTTATAATTACAGTGTGAGTTTGATTCCAAAGTAATAATAGTAAAATTGAAAAAGTAATGTTAATTCAATATTGAAAACACTAGTTGAGAGAAAAAAAAAATCAGTGTACGTGTTATATACTGCATTTGCAAATACATCTGTAGAAATTCAAACTCGAATCTATCATGTATAGGACATATTTCCATCTCTATTGGATGGAGAAATGTTGGGGAGGCTTTAAGATTGCTTTATGAATACTTTCTAGGTGGTGTAGTTGGTATTC